ATGGCCCAGAGGCCGACTACGGCCTCGATTTCTCTTGTCCATCTTCAGGCGGTCAGTGGGCCGCCGATCGATGGCCCGCCAGCCGGTCTACAGGTGGCCCTCAGGAATGACCATTCTCAGACTAAGAAAGGCCATTTCTAGACTCAAAGCCCCTCCGTGGTGTAGGTTAACTAATCCCAAATTTGACGCAAACGATTGCGGATGCTCTTAAGGTAGACCTTAAGCTACGTCGCTGCTTGAGTTTTGGACGGTTTTATGTTGAGTGAGCACAGCGGGCCGGGTCGGTGCCATTGGAGATCGGGGATTCCTTTTACAATGAGGACTGCTTGGATTTAATTTTGAAGTTTCTCATTCAATCCTATTCGATCGATCATGGCCTCATCACCTCAAGTTCGAGTACCACATTTCGCCAAATTATTACAAAACTCAAAAGTAGTAGGTCAATTAGATTTACAAACAGAACAAGTTTATACTTCATATCATGGTTATATTAAACATCGAAGAGATTTAGGATTAAAAAGATCATTACCATCTAAATTTAGTTCAAAATCACCATGGATCAGATTAAAAGAAATCGATACAAATTACAATCAAACTGATTACAGATCTGCTTCTGCTGAAGTTTCATTGGTTAAAATGTGGAATCAACTTGAATTAGGTGTTAAAACTTCGAAAAAAAATCATGCTTCTCTTAATGCTATACCAGAACCAAGACCGATCAGAATCGAAAGTTCATGGTTTGATAAAAGTAGTGGAATTGATCATAAATTTTCGGAACGATCCAAGGATTTGAAAATCGCTGGACCTTCTTCAATCAAAACTCAACCGAAACATATTTGGACGATGGATCAGACTGAATTCGATTGTTTCTTGTCACTCATGCGAACGCATAGGTCAGAATTCAAACGGTTCCTTGAATCAAAAGAGCGAAGGAAACAACGGATCCAAGCAGAGGCACGTTCCAGTGAGTAGTTCATTTCATAAGGATAATCTCAAGCTTCATCATTCTGATTATATCTATTCATCTTCTTATGGTCTAGCCAATCTAACTGAATCAGAGCTAGAGGAAGTCGATATAAATCTGTATGCTTATTCTCAACAGAATCCAGAAGAGATTCGTCGAGACATCGAAGAATTTTTAGTTTACCTGAACGACAAACGAGTTGTCTCAAAAGACGATCCAACCATCCAACCTATGACTCATCCTAATCTTGGACTTTCATACGGTCATCCTGATTTACTCCATAACGAGCGTTTAACAAAACCTATACCTGGTCGAGTGTTAGATCAACCCGATCTGAGAGTCAGTCGACAGACTGTTAGTGTGGCTGGGATTGTAGGATCATTACTTAGGTCTTCTCAAGTCGATTTACCTGCTACGCCTTTCGAACCCGATGCAAATGGATATCATAATGTAGATCAGGGCAAAGCTCTCTTCCGACTCGAATCAGCTTCTATTGATCCTTATGATCTACCAAGTTATAAAGACTTTCAAGGTTTCAATGATCAAAGTGATGCACCTAATCGTTATATCGATCCTAGAAACAAACCCAGAGCATTAGGACCTAATCGATTCCGAGTTCAAGTTAGAGAAGGAGATCGAAGTGAAGCTAATCGATCGAATGTTCATCATAAGATTGGTAGTCCAGATTGGGTTGGAAGTGAATCGGCCAAACGACAAGAAACCTTTGTACTCGATTTCCTTAGCTCTTTATCTCGATCTGCTACCACTCCTTCTTCTGCTGTTGGGAACTCTTTGACAGGTAAAGTCGATTCAAATAGGAAGAATGTAGATGGACGTGATCAAAAGTTTGGTGGAAGTGGTCAAGGTCATAGTGATCAATTATTGAAGGTTCTTAAAGATTTGATCAATAAACCTCCATCACGATCATGAGAAGATGGGGTCAACTTTATAAATAGAAAACCTTTAGGTTCTTTAACACTTCTTTCTGTTGAGCTGCCTACCAAAAATAAAATAATAGAAATTGGATAATTGTATTCTGTGATGAATTTTTCTCTCAAGAGTAGACTTATAAATGCATTGGAAAATCAGTGTAGAGCATGATTGTTACTTCAAACGAGGCTCAATTTTGAAAATGATCAGTACAAAGCTTGTGATTCTTATCCAATTCTTTACAGATGCACCTATGAGTCAGTGTCATCTTGAGAGAAATAGTGGAGTTTTGATCGTCAAATGAGTATTATAAATCTTTAACACAGAGCTAGATACATTTGACACCTGAATTGGAACCTAAACTGGGTACTTTAGATCTAATTCACCTGCTTCAATTGATACATAACCTGGTTGATCGACATCTACTTGATGTTCAAGAAGTACATCACTGACTTTCATTCCAATACCAGAGTCCAGATTGAAGTTTTGATGGGTTCAACTTGGTGGTATTTATTCAGTGATCAAGAACAAGCTGAGCTGTTGACCGATTTGGTCAATTTATAGAAGGCTATATATGCTTATAACATAGCTTGAGAAATACAAAACCATCGGTGGTCAACAAAATCTGGATTGACTTCGTCTGATGAAAATAGGAGAACACAATGTCGAGAATCGATCAGTTTCACTCCAATTTCAATGTCACTACGGATCATCAATCAACTCGGTTTACCCATCAAACAATCATTCACTCGATTCCATCATAATAACCCATCAACATCATTGAAAAAATTGATTATACCTTCATCGGTTTCTTTTGGTTCGATCTTACATCAACACAAGAATATTTCAAGTATGAGTAGTAAAGAAACTATAGAAGTATCAAATCGAGAACCTGAACCAGTTCATACCCAGGGAAAAGTGATCAGTGTTCAAGATTCAATCACTATAAAGGTAAAGTGATCAAACCCACATCTCTTTCTTTTCTATTGTTAAAAAATCAAATCTTTGGTTCACACTCTTTTTTTTTTCTTTTTTTGTTGGTTTGGTTATAGTTGAAAGAACTTCTTAAACCTACTACTTTAGAAGTCATCAATGAATCTCATTTACACTCACATCATTCAGCCATGCGAGCAATAGGTAAACCCAAACGAATCTTTTCCAAAGACCATCATTCATTGAAATCTTTCCTAAATCCATTTTTTGGTTTGGTTGAATTTTTTTTTGTAGGTGGTGGATCAGGTGAAACTCATTTTTCAGTTAAAGTGATTTCGTCTGATTTTCATGGATTAAATCGATTATCACGACATCGAAAGATTTATAAAGCTCTTTCATACGAATTCGAAGAACGTGGATTACATGCATTGTCTTTACAAACTTATACTCCTGAGGAAGTTTCCACTCCTAAAGAGTCATGAATGGTTTGTAAAACATTAGACTGATAGATATGATCACGATGATGGAAGCATATAAAATTCTAGTGCTTTAGATCAATCTTGTAGTAGATCTGAGGTTGCAATTGATAACCTTGAAGACCTTGAAAAAAGTTGTGAACTTATAACAGCATGGGTTGGCAAATGGCAGACCCTCAAAATTGGACATGCAAAATGTGCAGTTGTCATGCATGGGGAAAAGGACCCTGAACTCCCCATGGCTTTCTTAGATAAATATGGAGACCCTGAAACCTATCCTAGTGATAATAAAAGTCACCTTAAACCTCATGGATGGCAAAGTCTATTCACAATCCTCTTACAAATTAGGTATTGAAGTAGGTGATAACCTTTGGATAGGCTACAACACAGAGCTCACCAATACCCTCCTCCTCTCTTATCTGACTTATTCATTAATCACCTTGAGCTTCAACAAACAGGCAGTGAGAAAAATTAGTTACAAATAATAATGAGATCAGTACCACTTGGTGTGCCGGTCAGAATCAGCTTAAGATTTCCTTCATGATTTGGGAATAGGTTGATGGTGACCTGTGCTGTTTTTTTTGTGTGTTGGTGATATGGATGTGCTGTCTGTGTATTATGATTTTTCTTATTTAAAGACAACCTTTGTACCACTCAATTTCTTTCCTCAGGTAAGTGTATCTAAACAATAGCCGTGTTCAAACCAAACCCGGTTGCACAAAAACCCGGTACACCCGGTTGACTTTTTGGCTGGAAGCTGTCAAGAGCTGTCACTAGATACACAAAGTTACCACCAAAAACGCAACTGGGTGTACTGGGTTTTTGAGTCAACCGGGTTTGGTTTGAACACGGCTAATATCAAAGCCAGCATATCTTTTTTCAAAAAAATTGGAAGAAAAAGAAACTGTGTGGTGTGACATTAACCCTAGCATCTTCCTTGAGCCTGCTGGCCTACCAGCTCAGAAACACTTGTCCAGCCAAACAATAGCCGCTCTCAAAGTAAACCCGGTACACCCAGTTGATTTTGGAACTGGGTGACCTGGGTGAGTGAAAATCCACCGACCGGAGAAAAAGATTCACAGACTTTGCATCAACTTACAAAGTTCATACAAGCCACTAAAGCCACCACAATGCCACGCAAAAAGTCAACAAAGCAGCCAAACCCCACATCTGCCCTTCCAGAACCAGTTAATACAACTCCGATCACCTCAAACCCAGCAAACATCGGAACAACATCTGTTATATCCCCGCTCTCGGGAATTCCAGTGATTTCGCAAAGTCAACCTTCCCCCTCAGCTCATATCTCTCAAGCGGACTTGATACGTTTGCAGCTTTTGGCAAGCAGTGGATCACCAGCAATTCAGCCTCAAGGTTTCATCACCTTCCCGACGCAAACCCCATCTCTTAATTTGAGTCTTCTCTTAACTCCGGGATCTCAGCCTCACCAAGCAACCCTTTCTGCTATGAACCCAACAACCACGGCCGCCACGGAAGCAGTCCCTGCCAAAAGAGGACGAGGTAGACCAAACAAATCAGATATCGAGGTGGTTGAAGACTCGAAAAGCAGTCAAGTCTCTTGGTTTGTGAAGCAACGGGATGGCTTGTCTGACTTGGACAAGGTTGCCTTGTGGTGTGCCGAGGACGACAATTTCCAACGTTGGAAATCTCAAAATCCAAGCAAGATCGCACTAGCTGCAATCTGTGCTACTCATTTGAAAAATCAATATCAAATCGAGCGTTCACCAAGAGAGGTGGACAAGAAGGTTGAGTTTCCTTATACTAATGCCCTCTTTGTGTTCTCCTATTGATGTTTGGGTGGTTTGCTAGATAAAGTACCTCGAGGATCAGTTCAAAGAAGGCTTTAAACAACTGAACTCAACCGGCCAGGGCGTTCTTGATAATGATGATTTCAAGGAAGAGCTGGAAAAGTTGGGTTTGATATCACACACTGTTGATAGTGACGGTGAAGACGTAGTGGTAGGAAAGTTAGCGAAGTCTAAGAAGTGCAAAGTACCTCAAAATGGTACTGCCCTCGGTAAGTGTTTTGGTTCGGTTCCATTGAGCAAAACTCTGATACTCTTGTTCATTTATCTTTAGAGAAAGCGATTGCGGTCTGCCCTTGGTATTATCTCTTGGAGACTGTGATGCTTGAAAGATCTAACATCATCCCGGAGGCAACTCGTGATACTTTAGGAAACATTTTCTTTGATTCTAATCCATCTGACTTAAACTCCAACTTGAAACACACTGTTGTGGATTTAGATATCAAAGGGGAACAGGATGATGATGATGGTTTCCCCAGAGATCCATTATTTGGTTCAGATGTGGAAGAGAAGCCGATTAAAAAGGAAGAAGGCATGAAAAATCGTGAGGTGTCACGAAAAAAAACCAAATGTAAGTGTACTTTTGTGTATGATGTTTTAGGACCTGATATTGACCCACCGGGTATCCAGGGGAAAGACGCGATTCAAGGAACGGCAGTGCTTCACGTGATTCCTTGGGTCTACAAACGCTCATGTCCGATTTTCTACCTTCAACATCCGAACGCCAAGTTTCCGCGCAAGAAGAACGAAAGAAAGAAAAGGAACAAATGAAACTGAATTCCAAGATTGCCTCAGCTATCACCACCATGTCCACGAATCAAAAAGAAGATGTTCAGCTCAAACGTGAGCAACTCCGTGGCAAAGCAGTCACCCGGTTCATGGGTATGGGCGATACCTTTGAAGAAGCGTTTAGGAAGGCTTCAATCATGTACCCTGGCCCTCAAGAACCTCACCAGCCTCACGCCAGCACTAGTAAACATTGTTTGGAAGATGAAGATTTGGTTGGTGGCTCGAAGGATTCCAAGGGTTTTGATAGCTCAAGCTCATTCAGTCCCAATCCCTCTGATGATTTCAATATGTACTACGGGACCCCTTGAATTTGATTGAATTTTTGCATTGGTTTCATGTCATGTATGAGAGAATATGAAGAAACTCGAGACTCCTTATAAAGGAAGTGCTTAGAACACCAGAAAGCGGGTGTAAGTCTACACGGTTCTGAACACCGGAGACGACAAGAATAACACACCTAAAAGGTGAGAGAGAACACAATAAAAGAGGTACGCCAATTTCCTCAGTGAACTGATGATATTTATTTCATATGATAATCAATCTAACCTTAGAACACCAGAAAGCGGGTGTAAGTCTACACGGTTCTGAACACCGGAGACGACAAGAATAACACACCTAAAAGGTGAGAGAGAACACAATAAAAGAGGTCTAACAACATAGAAACAATAGGAAAATAGATCAATAACAATCATTCTGATTTTGAGAATGTATGAGAAAAAGAACTCACACACCAATTTCCTCAGTGAACTGATGAGGAGAATTGGCGTGTTTGAGGTGTTAGTTCTATTTAAATGTGATACATTGATGATCAATTAAGTTAGGTTTGATATTCAGATTGTATTAGGTTTGAATTGTACAGACATGGTTGTCGTGTTTGAAATGTTGATTGTAACCTGTCACTGTATTCTAACACGCCCCCTCAAGCACGACAAGCAAAATAAAGAATACAGGTCATATAAAGAAATATTGATCAATAAGTAAGAAAGAAAAAAAAAATAAGAAAGAAAAGAAGAAGAAAGAAATAAGAAGAATAAAAAAAAATTGAACCCGTTGTCTAAATCAAGTCGTTGTTTCTCTGTGATGAAGTCCAATAGCTCGTCTTAAGTATTGAAAAGGCGCTTTTCCCAACGGCTTTGTGAGCACATCTGCTATCATTTTATGTGATTGACAGTGCTTGAGTTCAACTGTTCCTCTCTTGACGAGTTCTTGAATCCAGTGGTATTGAATCTCGATATGTTTGGTTCGAGCATGAAAGATAGTCTTTGATGTAAGATGTATAGCGCCCATATTGTCACAATGTAAACGTGTCGGTTCTGTGATAGTGTATCCTAACAATACTAATAGCGTCTGCAGCCAAGTTGCCTCCTGCCCAGCCTCTGTAGTAGCACGATATTCTGCTTCTGTACTGGACAAGGCGACAGTCGGTTGAAGGCGACTTTTCCAACTGATGGCACCCCCTAAAAATTTGAAAATGTACCCGGTCGTTGATCGTCGATTGTCTTTGTTCCCCGCCCAGTCAGCATCAGAGAATCCGTACGGACAATTCCAGGATTGATTGCCCGAAAGACCTCCTTCTCCTGCGTTGTACTCAATAAATAAATGAGTTGTTCCACGTAGGTATTGAAGAACATGGATGAAGGCGTTCCAGTGAGCTCGAGAAGGACGGTCGAGGTGTTGTGATAACACACCAACAGCGTAAGAGAGATCAGGTCGGGTACACTGCGATAGATACATTAGTGACCCTACTCCGTTTCGATAAGGTAGATTTTGAGAAATGAATTCAGCGTGTTCTACATCAGTGGCGCGAGTGAGCTTCATGTCGGGTACAAGAGGAGTGCTAGCTGGTTTACATTGAGACATTCCAAATCGTTCCAGGACGCTTTCGATCATTGCAGGTTGTCCAATGGCGTAAGAGAAATCTGAGGTTCTTGAGATTTGTATACCTACAATACAGTGAGAGATTCCCAGGTCCTCCATCTCCCATCGATTGGCAATAAGCTTTTTTATGGTTGAGATTTCATTACCCGTGATCGCCATATCGTCAACGTGTATATACATGGCTGAAAATTGTTTTCCATTTTGTGATATACGTATGAATAAACATGCATCTGCATCCGATTGTTTGAATCCAATTGATAATAAGTACTCAGTAACGTCATCACTCCAGTATTTTGCCGACTGCTTTAATCCATAAATTGTACTTCCAAGGCATGCGACCATGTCGTCACCATATTCTTCTTTTAAATTGTCTGGTAACTCCATATAAATTTCATAGTCGAGCCGATTATTGAGAAATGCACATATGGCGTCCATCGATTCAATTGGCCATCCGTTTAATGCAGCGGTGCCAATAAGCAGTCGAAGAGAAGCTGGTTTTCCTGTAGGCGAGTAGGT